ACCCCCCCCCCCACCCCCCGCTCCCCTCCACTCCCCTCCCCGTTCCGTCCCCTCGTCGCCAGCACTACTAAATTCTGGACATAAGGTGAAGTCATGCGCTTAACAGTCACAGCAGTACGACGCTGGCCATGAGGTTGCGCAATACAGCACGAACCCCGCGCAATGAGGTCGCGCAATGCAGCTTCGATGCCGCGCGTGCGCACCCGGCAGCCTGACACAGCACGTACTGCGTTCACAGACCATAGTGCTCGACACCAACGAGCATCGATCACAGCCTCTCTGCAAAGCCCTGTGGAGAAACCCCTCGCGTCGGATCACAGCCTTTCTGCAAAGCCCTGTGGAGAAACCCCTCGCGTCGCGGAACACCATTCGACTCAGCTGTATACCCTAGCGTGGCGAAATCTTTCCGCATCGTGGAGCACACCCACCATAGCGTGACGTCCATCCCTGGCAGTACCGGCCGCACCCCTCCAGCACTATCCTTACAAGGGGGTTGGTCACTGAGTCACTGCGGCTTCGACGCAACGCGTGCAGGCCTGTAATCCTGACACAGTGCGTGCAGCTGTGGGACCATGGCTGGTACACATGCGAGCGTTTACGCATTGCGACTTTTACGCACGCCTGTTGTCACACACCTAGGAACGAGCGTCGACGCAACGCAGCCTCTCTGCAGAGCCGTGTGGCGCAATCTGACCGCAACGGAGTTCCTCTTGAGCCTTCTTATGCCTTCTTGTGCTCTCTGGCTTTGTTGGCTTCATCCATGATTGACCAACGTGCCCCACGCGTCGCTCCTGACCCTCCCTGCTGGGTCCGGGGCGCACGTCGACGGCGAGGCTCCGCTCCTCAGCGACCTCGTTGTCCCCCCTGGTGAGGGCGCGCGCCCCAGCCGCCTGGGACCGCGCCTCTAAAAGGCCGCGCCCGTACCGCTGCTCGTCTCACCGGCTCGACCACAAAGATGGTCCCTCGTATCCTGCCAGCCCGCGGGAGAAGAACAAAAAAAAAAGGGCACGTTCCTGAAACACCGGAGACAGTCCCTCACCAGAAAAGGTCCCGACAGCTACTCGGTCCGTCTCTACCTTTCGTGTTTCCCCGCTCAAGTTTTCCTACGAGCATGATGTCGACATGAGTTAGTTCACTTGTTAGCAAAAATGCATGGTTCCTTTTGCATACTCGTATGTCATTACCGTATCTTGTAGTTTTGCTGCGCTCGAGCCTGCTCGTAATTCTTGGAGCTCTAGGCCAATGATTGATCGACCAGGGATTAGTGAAAGCCGCTCTTTCTTAGAGGGGTATATCGACTGCTCAAGCGATGGCCAACCCAGCTGCACTTGATTTCGCCACAAACATAAGAGATCATACCTTTGAACTCCCGTGAAACCGACCAATCATCATCGTCATTATCA